TATATAAGTTTAACTGCTATTGCTATTGCTATTGCTAACTCTTCTGAGGTAGTGTCACAAGGCATTGTCTTGGTCACATCACCACAGTCTATCTGTCCAGCGTCCCCATTTAAAAAGTGGGTTAAAAAGTGGTTCCTTCTGCTTCGTACCGGTCTGGCTGAGTAGGTTGTAACTCAGCCTGCCACGCCCCCGAACCGGTTCTATTGGCGGTGGCGCCATCTTGATTTTCGGTTCTGTGCATGTGCAGGATAATCTTCATTGCAAAAAAGGTCTGCATGTGCAGACTTTTTAAGGTGCAAATGCACATGTGCATGGAGCATGAGTTTGGTGTGCATGCAAGTGAATGGAGTGCGCATACAAAATTTTTTGAAAGGCGAACCGGCATTAATGCTGGTAGCAACCCACCCCTGATTTATTTCCTTTGTTCATGTCCATGTTCATACTTCTACCTGTTATCTTGTACATGTTTTACAAACTAATATAATAAACAAACAAACAAACCAACTGCATGCAGATCATTGTGCTGCCTTTTCAAAGGGATCAGATAAGAAAAAAGAAATGAGACACATCTAATTTATATCAAACCATACCCATACCTATCTAACATTACAAATTATATTTCCTTCCACCATATCATTGTACAACTTCATAAATTAACCTTTATTTAACCTTCTTACCTCTGCCTTCTAGAACAACTCATCAATTCCATCAAATTGCAATCCTCTCTTTCTTCTCAATCCATTCAACACCCCAATACTTACACCGTCTTTCTCTCTCACTTTGTATGTGGTTGTTTGTGTGTATATGTGTGTATCACCCCAATATATTTTTTGTACTGGTATGTTACTTTTGTACATTCATTCAGCAGTTATCCATTATTCACTGTGTTTCTTCTTGTTTTACCATATCTAGTCCTTAAATACCCTTTTTTTCATTATATTCAAACTTAATTTTAAGTTTCTCTAACATACCCAAGTCTCATTTCCATATAACAAAGAAGACAGAAACATACATTTACACATAGCCATTTCTGCTTCTTTTCCTTCATAATATATACAACAAATTATATTTTTCCTAGCATTTGCAGATCTTAAAATTTTGCATCCACTTCTCTGCCTTTAGTAGACTTTTGATTTTGGTATCAGATTCAGCTACTTGCTCTGCTTTTTCATTGTTTATATATAATCTGTAATAATTCACTTCATTTTCTCTACTTGATACCATTATTTTGGTTTTTAATACATTAATTTTCAGATCCATACTTCAAGTTGCATCGTACAGTCTAACATTCCCGATGAATCAGTCAATAAAATACAAAACTGCACATCCATTCAAGCATTACAATGCTGATTCTGCCACAAGCATTCTTTATGCAACTAAAATCAACCTATAGATTCATACTGCCTTATGCATAATGACCAAAACAACCAATTCATAGTTTGTGACATTTATTTTAAAACCTTCATCTATAACAAAACTTTCACCTGTACTTCCCTGCATATATTCATCAATTTAATTTCCCAGGATTAACGCATCCTCATTCAGATCTATTATTTTACTTCATTCAATTTTTGTTTCATAGACACACAATGCATTTTATTTCCTTTAATTAATTAATAATCCTTGTTAGTCTCTGAAGCAGGAGCGGGAGGAGTCACAACTGGGTATTAACACAGCCCTTTTGCCCGGAGACTGAGGTAAATTTTGAGGCCACACCTCTGCTCCTCCTCCTGACTTTCCCAGATTAACCCCAGTCTTCGGCCCAGAAGGAGTGTTTTTCCTGACTCTCGCTTCACTTCGAAGATCTTTTCAACAGACCAATTCCTTTGTTTGGATCACCTCTCCTCATCCGTGCTTCGCCTGCTGCTAGCCCTAGAGTCTTTCCGCTATGCTAGCACAAGCCCCAAGTGTCCGGATGGTCCTGTGGGGGGGAAGCCCTTACCTAGCTGTGAGCTCCGAGGAGATCCAGGCATCAAGAGATCACAGGAGGAAGAGGCCCAGCAGAGGACATCCTTCCAGTATTTCCCAAGGATCGGAGTGGAGAACTCGGACCGCAGGCTCAGTGGTCACCATCTTGGATCATGGCCATCCCGAAGCACGTGAGTGGAGTGCGTGGTCGGCGTGCCTGGTTACAGACACCGCAGGTGCCCAGAAACCACTGCCGGAGTCAGAGGGAGGCTGCAGGGGCCAGAACTCTGCTGGTAATCCGGGGAGGGCCCAGAGTTTGGTGGTGGGCCAGTGTTCGGGCCGCAGATCGGTGGCAAACTCAGGAGGGCACAGAGCCTTAAAGCGGCAGGATGTGCAGTCGAACTGAGGCCGGTAGGAAGGAAGAGGTGGGGAACGCAACTATGAGTAGAATGGCGGAGGCGGCGAGGAGCGGGGGAGCAGCAGGCCCTAGATCCCCAGGGGAGTTGGACCCGGGCAAGGGGACCTCCAGGGAGTGGCTCATCTGACTGTCTGGTGCTTGAGCAGGAGCAATTGAGGGGGGGGGAATTTCTCCGCCAAGGCCATTAGGACCATTGAGGCCTCCAGAAGGAACTCCACCACATAAATCTATAATGCCTCCTGGGTCGCCTTTGCGGATTGGTGCCGATCGGGGGGGATTGACCCATTCTTGGCATCTGTGCCTCAGGTTCTGGACTTCCTACAGGAAGGTCTGTAAAAGGGGTTGGCCCACAGCACCCTCAGAAGACAGGTCTCTGCCCTTTTCACCATCCTGGGGGGGAGGGGTGGCCTCACCTCCCTTATCCCAGCATCTGGTTTTAAGGTGATTCCTAAAGGGGGCAGAGAATTTGAGACCCGCCATGGTCCACTGATTTCTGACTTGGGACCTCCCCATGGTGCTCCAGTCTCTGATGGAGGCCCCCTTCGAGCCCTTGAGAGAGGTGTCATTCCAATTCCTAACACTCAAGGTGGTATTCCTGGTTGCAATCACCTCAGCCAGGAGGGTGTCCGAGCTTAACGCTCTTTCCAGCAGAGAGGATCTCTGCTCATTCCTAGACAACCAGATCGTCCTCAGGCTGGACCCCGCCTTCATGCCCAATATCAATTCTCCCTTCCACAAGGCACTAGAGATAGCTCTGCCGGACTTCTGTCCGAAGTCTTCCAGAGAAAGAGAAAGGTCCTGGAATCGGCTGGACATCAGAAGAGCCCTGCGCATCTACCTGAAGCGCACGGTGCCCTTCAGGCGGTCGGAGGTGCTTTTCGTCTCCTTTCAGCCTTCCATCAAGGGAGCTAAGGTCTCTCCAGCCACCATCAGCAGGTGGATCACATTGGCCATCTCCAAGGCCTACGAGGCACAAGGACTCCAGGTTCCAGAGGGCATCACCGTGCACTCCACCAAAAGTGCTGCCACCTCAGCGGCCTGGGCCATCCAGGCCCCCATCGAGGACATCTGCAGAGCTGCAGCCTGGTCCTCTCCCTCGCCCTTCATCAGGCATTACCGGCTGGATGCATACACCTCCGTGGAGGCGGCCTTCAGGAGGAGGGTTCTTCAGGGAGTCCTGGACTCTCGGTGGGTTCAGCCCAGTGATTCCCTCCCAAGGACATCTAGTTTTGGTATGTCCCAATTGTGACTCCTCCCACACCTCACTTTGGAGACTGTCAGTTGGTCTTACCTGTACTTGAGAGACCGCCTACTGCCAATTACCTCCACTAGACCAATAAGATCCCACACATTAGGCCTCCTCCGAATTCCATCAGCTGGCCAATGGCGACTGGCAAGTTCCCGGAGGAGAGCCTTCTCGGTTGCTGCTCCGACCCTCAGGAACGAACTCCCCGTGG